TGTTTAAGTGTTCAAAAGGCAGAACCAAGAGATGTAAACTCTTGTAAGCTGGGATCAAACTTTAAAGTCAAATCTTTTATTATACCAGGTCAATTAGGTTCTTTTCAAACCAGGCTAATACAATAGAAAAAATTTTCATCTGTGAAGCTATTTTCAGGACCTGATAAGGCTCTGCTCAAAGGTGACATCAAAGGCTGGGTGTTGGAATATTCACAAATAAAAGAAACCCAGACACAATCAAATCAAGATTAAAGTTTCAGCAACTACTTTGAAAAAAGTCATCTGCTTTACAGAAACTAAAATATAGCAATGTGGTGGTTTTTTTTATAAAAATATAAAAAAGATAATTTCCACAGACTCTGCATAACTCTCATCTTCTCCCTACTGTCCCTGAAGAATCAGTTCTTATCCCACAGCCTCTCCCAGAATGGCGTTTGTTCTCCCTTTTCAAAAGTTTAGATTTATTTTCCCCCAAATTATGTTAAACTTATGGTCTCCTGGTTATGTTGCTGGAAGTGTCTGTATTAGCCAGTAAAAACAGTAAAAAAGTTGTATAAATCCAGCTTTATAATAAATAATATCCCAGCTCATGCAGATATATCCTGGATTACAAAGTTACAATTAAAATCTCCTGTATTCCTTCTCCTTGGAGCTGTGTCAGTAGTGTGGAGAAGGGATCAGTAATGTTCTTAAAGCACAATTTATTTAGCAATAGTGCACAGGCACTCAGGGAGAAATACCATGCAAACATAACAAGGGGTTTATAATAATGGCTGCCTTTTCATGGGCTTGTTTAAACCACCTGAGTCCACCCAAGAGGCAAAAAACATCAAAATGAATAGTCTTGAGGTTATTATTTACTGTTTTGCAAGTAACTGTAAAGATGCATTTATTCCCAGCCATTCATTTTGTTGTGTTTTTTTGTTGTTGTTGTTTTTGTTTTTGTTTTGCTTGCTTTTTTCTGAAAAGGAAAGCAAAACTTTCAGCAGGTTCACTACACACAAATGTATGTGGTTTAAAATGAGACTGGGATTTTTTGTGCTCGTGACCTTATGGGAATTTTTTTTTAACAATTTCTATTTGCTATAGTATTATTTAAATTTATTTCCATTTCTGTGGGATAAGGAACTTGTTCCTTTCTTTTCAGGCATCAAAGGTGTTGCTACTCCTGTCTGTTCAGCCTATGCCTCCTGGTTCCTGCTTTTGCCTCTGGCTTAGTCCTGTGATTCCTGTGTCCAACAGTATATCAATCCTTAGAGCTGTTAAATCTCTACAGAAAGTGCCAGGTCCCAAAGCAGGCCCTCTCATACAAATCACAAACCGTGCTGAACAGCTTCATTCTTTCTGTGATATCTCTGCCACAATTTTCACTGTCATCCAAAATATGTTAACAAAGTTCTTCACCAGAGAATTTCAACTGTACAATTCCTAAAAAGGATATGTCAGTATTATGAAATTTCTTTTCTTCCTGAATCTGTAAAAGGCAAAAAAATTTTAAACTTCCCATGTATTAAAGAAATTCACAAGAATGTTTTAGAGAAATGTCAAATTATTTTGTAGGAACAGTTCATCTCAATGAAATGAATGTTGCTTTTAAAGCTAAATTTTTCTATTATGATTGCAATTACTGATAAAGCAAATAGATTACTCTTAAATGCTCCAATAAACTTTAATCCAATAAAATTTTGCAGTGGTAAAATGCTGCATCACATATTTCTTTTTTTCACCCAGTTTTAATCTTGATCAGGTGTAGTACTGTGCTAGAATTGAGAGATATCTGATGGATGTTCTCAATTATATGCAATACCTGTGGCTACAACAGGCCATACTGACAGTCAGGGATAATCAGCAGATTAAAGATGCCTGGATGTAGGAAAGAAATGCATTACACCTTCTGAAGCACTTACACGATGGATGATTCTTCTTGTACTTCCTTATTGCAGGGATCCTCAAGAGTCTGCTTAAACAGGAGTCACACAAAGCCACCTTTGTTTTGGGTATTGCAAATATAAGCTCTCTGCATGGACATGAATAGACTAAATATTGCAGTACCTTAGATTTTATGACTTGGCAAGAAGCTAAGTAGAGTGGAAAGCTGTAAAAATAAAAACTTTCAGCTCCACTAAGTTGAAAACTGGTACCTAAGATATCAGAAATATAGCTGCTGGTTCACAACTGAAAAACTCACCCTGCCAAAGGGTTCTTCCACCTCTCCCCACCCTGACTTGACTAAAGCTGATATGATGCCAAGGGAGGTGACTGTTAGGGATGTGTGTTATCAGTCCTCTGAAGTGACTCAGCTCTACATCTTTTAATCAAACCTCAATTTTTTCAATCTCTAATTTCTTCCAGAAAAGACTGAACAGCAGGTCAGAGCCTCAGGCCTACTGAAGGTAGGATAGAAATAATGACTGTAGGAAAAGGACTTCTGTAGGGATTTATCAGGGGTTGCAATTGCTCTCATCATGCGAGACATGCCCGTTTGCAATGGTAGAAGGGTTCCTGAATATTCAGGCACTGTTGTGGCTGAAGGTTAAACCTGGCCAAGGATATTTCCTAGGTTATATTTTCACTAGAATAATTTCTGAAGTTTGTTGTCAGATGCGCGCCCTGGAAGAAATAGCAGGAAAACCCAAGTAGTAAATAGGTGTGTGGCTGAGGCACTTAGATGAGACCCAGACCATGCCTCTGCTTTGGATGATGTAGAGTAGGGATAATATTCCATGTAAGTACCCTAATCAGCCACATGGGACAGTTGCCAATCTTTTAGTTTATAAATATTTATTAGTTCAGAGAAAGAAGGATGGACACAATAGGTGGTGGTTAGTACAGAATTAAGTCTGGGAATCAAATGAAACCCCTGGTTTCTGAAAGTATTTTTTTCTCCAGTCAGAACTAATGCAAACTGTGATCAGCACAGCCAAAGAATGACCTGAAATGGAGTAAAACTAAAACCTGTATAGGTTTGACAGTGCAGGAAATATATAGAATGGACATAACACCTGGTCTTGGTTGAATCCCATATACATTGCAACACAGAAAATCCAGTAGAGACAAAGCCAGGATAGATGGATTCCCCACCTGCAAACAGATGTGCACTGGGAATGACAGAGGCCAGCGGAGACAGGACCTCAGAGGCCTCCACACTGGCTACTGATGCTCCTGGAAATTAGGGAAGAGAGCTCTGTCCTGCTTTGAGACAAGAGAGCTTGTCTGCAGAGAGCTTGGGATGTGAGGAGTTGCAACACTCTGCTTTGCTACTCTATCTGCTAAGCCAAGTGGAATGTAGTAAATATAAATAACTAGTCTAACAAGTTTTAAAAGTGTCCTATGTGAAAACTGGATTTAAAAAAGAAGAAAGTAAAGGGATTTGATTATTGAGTAATGCAAGTTCTGTGTAATCTAGAAAGTTTTAAATAAAGAGAGGAAAAATATTTCAAGGCCATTTTTTAGTTATCAGAAAATTAGAAAATGTGAGGCCACCTACAGAAAACCTGTAACAGTAGTTATCAGAACAGTTTATTGTGCACAACAATTTAAATGAGTCTCTAACATTATTTAAGCCATAAAGGAAAAGAGCTTCTAACATCAGATAGTTGACAGCAGTAGAAGTAATAAAAAGCAGAGTCAGAAGATCATTACTGATGTAAAAAAGGGTACTTTTCAAGACTGATTCTATAGCTTTTTTATTCTCTTTCTTTTTTTTTTACGAACATTTAAGATAGGCTAACTCCAGCTGTATAATGAATATATCCTTTCAATTGAAAAGTCAATATTTAACATCCATTATGTTCTGCTTTTTAGGACATGCTCTATTCAGATAATAGTGTTTTAAATCAAATTAGCCACAGAACTATATGGAAGAAACACTGAATATGTGTCATGAATCAAAACCACATATTTTACAATACTAGAGTTACAAAAACACTCATGTCTGCAGACTTAAGATCAGTGTATTTTCTCATTGGGTGTATCTTAAAAAGAGTGACATAAGTTCCTTTGCAATAACCCAGAAAAGCTTTTTTTTTATTATCTAGCAAACATTTTGAAGACTGTAATTTAATAGTTTCAGGCTATTTAATCTTTGTCAGTATGACAGGGTTTGCATTTGTTAGTTGATAATAATTCAGCAACTGCTTAAGCTCACATTTGTCCCATCATCCCTTCTCAAATTATGGACAACAGTGGCTCCATATTTTTGTTTTGTAAATTTAACCCCCTAATTGAAATTAACTGTGATTTGAGTTAGGATTATTAGGCCTCTAATAATACCATAGAGTCTAATTCTGCCATTTCCCATGCGTAGCTTTTACACTGGATTTAGACCAACAGTACAAAACATTTTATTGCTGAGACAATGAAAGCATGTTAATTGAGATCTGTGACACCATATTGAGGAAGAAAATATTTTCATTCCTGTTTACACAAGAGCAAACAGACATGGACAGACAAAGACACTCCTTGAGTTGGTCTCAGTTTTGTTCAAGTTGTTTAAAAATAAAGAAGTTGTTATTAAGTTCTTCCAGACAACATATTCAGTATGGACATTTATTACTGATTTTATGCAATTATCCTGTAACTCCCATTTTGCTTGTCGATATGGTGTATTAAAGCACAGACACATTTGCTCAGCATATATCCATGCAAAATGTTTCTGTGATTTTTTTTCTAAATAAAATTGTATCTTTAAAATCACTAGAAGGTCCTCTGAACTTAAATGTTCTTTTTAATAGAAACATGGAGAGCTTTGACCTCACTGAACAGGGGAGGAAAGAGACAAGGCAGTGGTAAGGTACACACTGAAGTTTTAGTCAATGCTTTTGATACTATGTGTCTAAAATAAGAGTTAGAAATATGTCATTGTGTGGTGGACTGACCTTGGCTGGATGCCAGGTACCCACCAAGCCACTCTATCACTCCCCTCCTCAGCAGGACTGGGGGAGAAAATAACATGGAAAAAAAAACCCCTTGTGAGTCAAGATAAAGGCAGTTTAATAAAGCAAAAGCAAAGGTCGTGTGGAAGCAAATGAAAACAAAATATTTATTCTCTACTTCCCATCAGCAGGCAGTGTCCAGCCACTTCCCGGGAATCAGGGCTTCAGTATGCACTAAATCCAAGTGATCATGAACATTGTACAGAAATTAGAGGGCATAAAAGAATATGAAGCCATCTATCTGTAAGTATCTATCAGATAATTATGCAAAGCATCAATTATTTTTCAAGACTGTGAAGCCTGGAAAGTGTATTTATGTATTTTCTGCATGCCAATGATACCAGAGATAATGTATATGAATAATGTTACTATGGTGTTTTGACCACAAATGGCGTTCAGCAGTTGCAATAATAATTTCTCAGAGAAATGGCATGAGCTAAATATTACCAGAAGACAGGAAATCAAAACTTGATAAACCAGTCCAAATCCCAGGTGAGGAGGAAAAGACCACAGATACCTGAATCATGAAAAAGGAAGTTTGGTAAATGGGAAAACAGAGACGTCAGGTAGAGCAATTGTCTGGCTGCCTACTACCAGCTACTTTGTGAGTTGGTGCAAAATGAGACAATCCATTAAATTTTACCCAGCCTGCACCAGATTTACATAACTGAACTCTCATGAATTCAAAGCAATCAAAAGAAGTAACCAGGCACATGAAGCCCTCCCATGTGTATAAGTTTTTACCCAAAAAAATCCTGCTTTGCAGTATATTTGTATTGCAGGAGTGATCCCATGATCCCATAGAGACAGTCCCTGCCTGCCAGCAGGTGAAGTAAATCCGTACATCCATACTGCAGGAGTGAGATGTGATTCCATCATCCTGGGAGACCCAGGCTGCCATCCCCACCTGCCATCAGCTGATGTATATGGCTCCCTCTGTACCTCCTCCAATAAATCTCTTGGTGCCAGTGACACTGCCAGACAATGGCTGCATTCCGGTTACTTTCCACTGCGGCTGAGCTTCCAAAACCCTGCAGAAAGCCAGATAACCTTTAAAGTAGCATTATCTGCACCAGACCCCCAGAGCCAAGCTGAACTTACTTATGACATAGGGATAAATTAAACTCACTAGATTTAGAGAATTACTTCTGAGCTTTTCCAATGAGCAATCAGATGTGGGAACTAAGACATACTGATAAAATCAAATATATGAAGTTGCTGCTAAGGCTATTTCACTACTACCTTTTCAACTGCCAGTGAAATAAAAGGAATTGTATAGATTGGATTAAGAATCACTGCATTTGACCAGACTAGCCAAGCTTTCTTAATTCCAAAAGTAATTGCAGGTATGTTCCAGCAAGCTGGGAACTGACCTTGAGTGCAAAGAAATACTCAGCAGAGGCTGATAGCCTCAGGAATGGATACAGTGTACTGAAAACAAGGCAAATCACCAAAAGACAGCAAAGTAGACCTTTCTTATTTACAGAAACACAAAGAAGTAAATCTTAATTTTTGTGGGGGGAGGGGAAGAAAAGCAATAAATATCAATATAAGCACTGTGTGCTTGACAGTATATCGAACCAAATGAATTAAGGGAAAAGAAATTTGAGCAGGAATCCCATACTGCTGAGGGAAGGAGGAGACACAGAGGAGACAAGCGGAGGGGAGAAAGAAGGGCCTGAGAGGGGGCTTTGGCTGGCTCTGAGAGCTGTCTTCATGCAGGGTCATTGATTTAAACGTACCACTGAGCCCTGAGCACCTGGAAAATACCAGAGGTCAAGCAAGGAAAGGGAGAAAAATCTTCAGTTTCACAATGAGGAAACAAATACAAAGGAAAAAAGAATAGTATATTACTGTGATGAAGATTAAGTAAGCTACTCAATTCTAATGTATGGTCCATTCTGCAAGAAGGAAAATTAACATAATGTGATAAACTGAGGAGATTCAACAAATCATTAAACCTCTGTAAGAGTGGATGTTTCAAAGTATCAGAATAAATTTCAAAATCACCCATAATGAAAAGTATTAATAAGGGAAGAATCAAATCAGGAATCAGCTTAGGTCATTCAGTAACAAATCAGGATGAATAGTTGGCTGTGATAGAAAACCCAAAGGGCATGAGCTGAAAAGTATGCCAAAGGAATAACAGTTTAAAATCAAAAGGGTGAAAAAAGCAGTAGCCAAAGCAGTTCAGACAAACAGAGGAGGAGCGTTAAATTTGAGCAGACAGATCTCCTCGGAGAGCATACATCACGAGGAGTGTCTCTTTTAGCTGGAACATACAGTGCTAATTTCTTTGTACTTGGAACGGGGATGGAAAATTCAATTAAATTGGCTGAAAATTGGATGTGTCTTTAGTAGTGCTTCCAGGTTGTTCCTGTTATTTCATGTACTTCAGTGACAACATTGCAGGTGTCAGACATTAGGGGAATACTCCAAAGAAATTACTTTTTGGTTTGAATAATGGTAAAAAACAATCCTGGAGATTAAGTTATCCTCTTTATCACTGGGATTTTATTAAAATATGATTTGTCCTGGACCCTTGGCCACTTCCAACAGCAGAGGCCCTCTGTGGCAGCCCCAGTCTGGCTGGGACTGGTGCCCTTGAGCACCAACAACCTGCTAGTGATGGTGGACCCCAAAGTAAATGGATAATCACAAATATCTCTGAGATGGATGAAATATTGTACAGATCTGACATTTTTCATACTCCACAGAAAATCCCCTCCTGAGCTATTAAGGACCAAATCTGCCATCTTGTTCCTAGAAGGAATATCAATCTACTGTGCTCTATCCACACCATGAGATAAATCCCCTTCCAAAAGATACAATTATATTTCCACATCCAGGGAGCTACATTTGCCTCATGCACTGCACTAACAATGCAGATCCATAAGACTGTTTCAAAAGAGCATGTATTTTGAAAAAGAAAAGGTAAATATTTTGGTTTCAGAATTTTCCAAACTTTTCAATTTCTTTAATTTTGATAAATTTAGAGATAAAGGAGCCCTTGAAAAGCTAAAGTAAGAGGTTTTTTTTGATCATCACCAAAATTAAAGTCAGTAGCAGCAGCTTCAGGTGCATTATTTTACTGGATAATTTTACTCAGAAGTAGTTGACTGATTCAGGTTCATACACAAGTTCATAGTTGATGTAGTGAGTCTGAAGGTATCTTAACCAGGGCTCTCGCTGACTACAGAGTTTTTAATAATACTGGCAGATTTGGATAAGTAATTGGACAGTTTTGCCTGTGTTTGAGTAGGTGCATTTGGAACTGCTAACAAAAGTAGTAAAAATCTCTCTCCTAAACATTGCTTCCATTTTCAGCTTGATCTACTGTGGAAAAATAGATTATTCTAAAATAATCCAACCCTCTACAATTGAGTCTACAGAAAAACAGAGTACTACATGGGAGAAGAGAAAGACTATAGATCTGTTTAGAAGCAGCATTTTAAAAGCCATTTTTAAATTATATTTTTTGTCGTAAGTGTTGGTATTTGGTAACAAAGCCTTGCTCCAAGTGATAAAAGGTTCCCTAAGAGTACTTTAATTGAAACTTTTTATCTTATTGTTGCCTGAATCTTTGCTAAATGCTACTTTCTTGCTTCAATTCAAATTTTCTTAATCTTCATTTTCACGTTGAATATTGGTACACTGTCTGCCTCATTATGCTAAAGAAAGATGAAGTGAGCTATTAACATTCTGAACAGCCTACGAGATGTTATGATATAGAATGTCATTCATTTTTATGAGTTGGCTGTCAGTGTGTGCTGCAATAAAGTTATAATTTCTCACTGACAATATGTGATGTCTGGAGTCGCTGCACAATCCTTATTAAAATTTCAATAATTGTAAATCAAAGGAAAGCAAATACGACTTTTATGAAACGGTCGCTTCTGAAAGTCAAGGAGTACAAAGTGGTGGAATACAAACCCAAAAGATTATTCCTGTGTTGTTCCAAGCCATCACCATCATCCTACAATTTCCCTCCTCTTGCACAAGGCAGGGTGTGCTGGGCATACAACATAATATTCTCAGAGGTGGCACATGCTGGATTATAGTGATGGTGAAGCTGTGCTTGTTTGTTGCTCTTAATTGACTCTAACTTTATGTGGCTCTGAGTGTCATCATGTTTATTGGAACAATTTATTATTATAGCTCTTCATCAGGAAAGTCAGGTGTCTTTGGAAGCAGTTACAAGTTATAATTGCCTGACAGTGAGGAAAGCTAGAAGAGATTTATGTGCATACATGGGTGAGCAAAGGTTTCAAAGCCTGTTTTCTTGTAACTTTAAGCAGTTGTGGAAAATACCAGGGATAGATGTATGGTCTTTAAAATGCTTAAACTGTCTAGGACAGTACACAGGGAAATGAATCCTCAATTGAAAAGAAATGTTTTATATATATATATATATTGCTGTGTAACAACTATGTCTTTATTTCTACTGATGTTAGTATTGCTTCAAATCAGAAATGTAAGAAGTTTCTATCACTGTTCAAAACTTGCTGATCTTTCATTTTGAGCTTGACATCAGCTGGATGATCAGAATTTGTAACAAATGCCCCCAAAACAATAGCTTTTTTGAGTTATTAGATGCAGACCAAAATATTCCAGTCACTGAACCAATGTTGTTGGGCATTTAGAAGTACTCTAGCACTTCTTCCTGTTATTTTCAGTTCCTTTCAAAGTCATTATTACTTGCAAATCACTACATGACATCCTGAATAAATGCATTAATTTAATGTATGTAATCACTGTACATGGGATAGATAATTATATGGGTAGGTTTTGGAATTTTCTTCAGCAGTTTTTAAGTACTGAGAGTCAGTCAGACTCCTGGGGCTAGATATAGTTATGCTACAAAGGTTGTGTGCCCAGGAATGATAGCACAATGCAGTGATTATGCCAACAGGCAAAAACAGACTTAGATACTCCAATACATAATTCTATTTCTATTACTTAGACTATTTTTCATTATTCAAAAGTTAAGTCAAACATATTCATCTCATGATTGCATCTGGCATGTTTAGTAAATTTTAACTAACTTTATTTCTAACTCCACTCCTCTTCTAAACTGACTGACTGCTAAAATTTACAGCACAGCAGCAACACTCACACATGGCATATGATGGATATCCTTCAGTGTCAGAGTTCCAGTGTAGCAACATCTCAGATCTACCTCCTCAACACAGAGCACTCAGCAAATATTCATGCACAACAAAAGCAAATCTCTGCTTAAACATGAAGCTCAGTCTTTGTTCCTACACAGAAATACTTGTGCACAATTCAAGCCATTGTATTTGAAAAGGTGTCCCTTCATGTCAGTAGCACACAAACATACCAAATCATGCATGCCAGTTCTCCTAAACTTGATTTATCACCACAAGTGTCTTCCCTTCACTTGAAATAGTTTATAGCTAGTAGCCTAAGTCAAAAACCAGCTGTCCACATTCATCAGAAAGCTCCCTGCTGGAAAAAAATAATGATTGACCAACTGAGCCATGGGAAATAACCTCTACAAGTATTTACTTATTGTTACATCTCCTCATACACCCAGAGTAGCATGCAGTGGGATTCTGGCCCACACACCAAGACAAAGTGAGAAAGAGGGATGCAGAATGTTGTAGTGGGACCAGACCTCCACCTAAAGGGATGAGGTACATGACTTGGGATGACTCTGTACTGGTGAGAAATACTCTGTTTTAAGAAGGTCAGCTGAAGACAACTGGTCTAATGAAGGATAAGGCAGCTCCAGCATGCAGAAATACTTCAGCTGATGCAGTAATGTTTGCAGATGTCTTTAGAAGGACAAGTTTCAGTGGCAGTCAAAGGATCAAACATCCACCTAAAACAGCTGGGAAGTTAAACATATGCTCTGATGTTGTCTGATAAATCATCATGTGAAGCAATAGGCCTGAAAGCCCACTGTAATCACCAGTGATCCAGTGAATGAGCACAGTCTCTAATGTAGAATGATGCACTGGTGATTGTACCAACTGCTATTTTGATATCCAGCTACACAGAGATGTCCAAAACATCTGATATAGAATAGCAAATAGTCTCATGATTTCTGTTTATGCTGGTATGAAAAATGTTTTCAGACAATATTGCAGAAACTTTACTGTTATCATAGTATTGTTTGTCAGTTTTCAAATAGATTTGCTTATTTACTGTGCAAAGATATCAGTAATAACAATTTTTTAAGACTATAAAAAATATCTGAAATATTTTTCCTATTTATTAGCCAGTAATTATTTTGGGGTCTAATATTTTGTGAATAGCCAAGATTAGAAAGACATACTTCTACCTAGTGCATACTTCAGAACATGGAACTGGAAATCCTGTAATTCCAGCTGTGCTATGGAATATAGGAAGTGTGTCAAACCCAGGTGTTAGTCAGGTTATTCAATTTAGGATCTGTCACAGTTCTGGAAAAGGGAAAGATGTGTCTGTCTTAGATGATTGGCATGAATAATTTGGTGGGGAAAATTATGTATTTTCATGTCATGGTAGGTACTGTTTCACGATTGTATCACTTGTATGGGAATCTGAAATATTAGCCATGGAAGCAGCCAAGTCAGAGGGTTTAAGGGGGAAGATTTTGTTCCAGGTCTCCATACATAATGTCATGACTATTTGAATTAAGGCAATTATATCTGGGAAACATATATGTATAATATATATGCATTGATTTATTAATTTAACCAAAAGATTTCCTGTCTGCCTTCAAAACTGGTCACAAATTTCTACTTACAGTAGAATTCATTTGGTGTATGATGACTTATTTAACAGCGAAGTTACTTGGACACAATGCAGACACTTTATATTCACTTTGATAAATACTATCAGTTTGTACAGATGCACAGAGTTGCACACACCTAAGCAGGGAGGAAGTTTTTGCTTTCTAATTCTGCAGTTCTCTCAGTCCTTCCCCTGTGCCTCTCTGCTCCCTGCACAAGCTATCTACCAGCCAAAGCTTGAAGAGATGTGAGTGAACACCTCAAAAAACACTACAGGAACAGAAAGTGACACCAAGAACATGGCACTGTGTAATTTTTCTTTGTTCCTCAACTTATTTTGTCATAGTTTATTTGATCGTCAATCTGTAAATGTTTGTATAGCAAAGTTTAACTTTTAAACAAAGCATGTGATGATGTGAATAAAAGCAGATCTAATATACTGTACTTACAGTGATATGTACATTTTGTGACTGTTCAGTTCAGTAAAAAAAGAGTATTTTCCAAGATGTATCAGCATTTTTAGTTTTGTCTCTTAAGAGAGCACACTATATCCTTGTGTGGTCCTTAGCATTTAAGCTATTAAGAAGAAATTGCATAAACAGCAGCCAAATCTTTTAAGAGTGAAGTACTTAGTATTCTTCCATTTAGCAGCAAGTTATGAAGTTTCATTTAAAAAGGCTAATTCTACCAATTAGCTCATCGTGCTCAAACACACATATACTGTTGGGAAATATAAAAATGGTTTATTAAATCAAAAGATATGACTGCACTTCAACTAGCACATGGGCATTAGAGATCAAGTATTCCCTATAGATTAATCCCCATGGCATCACAGGCTGATTTGGCTTGCCAGTATTACATTAGTAAACCATCTAATCCAATTTAGAGCAGACAGGAATGTTCCATCCATTATGGTATTTCTAGTGTCATTAGAAGCAGACTGATTGAATAAGCATCCTAAATCAGCCTGCAGCATGCAAGTAAATCACTTGTGACTTGTACTGCAAAACCTTTTTTTTTTTTTTCCAATAAAAATTAAGGGGAAAGAAAGAAAAAGCTCCATGTAATAAGATGAAAGCTCTCTGTGTGATTGTGATTTCTGAACTCTTGTGGACAGCAAAATTTCTTTGTACTTCAGTATGTAAGATTCTTCTCTCTCTAAGGTAGCAGTGCAGAACCCAGTGGATTTACGGATGTGAAAAGCTCCTTATTTGTGCCAAGTTTGTCTTCATGGAAAACAGTGGAACATCGTCCCCTCCCTCCCCCCAGTAAACAATAATAAACAAAGTAGGCTGAATGAGGGCAGAGCAGGATGTTACTCTCACAAATAAAATCTGCTGTGTAAAATTGGAGTAACCATAGTAATAAAATCTATCAATCAAATATATTACAGAGGTTGCAATAGAAAGGATGAAAAGAGAGTCCAAACTTTGTATTCGCCCAAAATGAAAAATGCTCAAGTAATTACAAAAATAGTATTTTCATTCCAAACAGGCACACCTGAACGAAAAACAATTCCTCAATAAAGAAGTAAATATATGAATAAAATGTTGGTGACAGTTCTTTGAGATGACACAGCTCTCAGAATGATTTCAGCTAAGGGCTAGGCTGCAGCTTTGAAAAGCTGGGAATCAAACAAAATAAAATCATCAAAATGGCACATAACCTTTGCTGCCCTCCGAGACCTATCACATTGCACCAGCAGGACCACGCAGGTCTCAGCTGCACTATTTAAGCAATCAGCCATGAAAAGGAAACACTGCACCAGTGCACAAGCCCTGAGTGGCTGCTCCTCCTCGATGGGAGAGAAGCGCTCATGCACGTGAAGGATTCACATTTGTTTAATGGCAAAGTTGCTCTGCTGTCAGTCAAACAGCTCTTAACCTTGTCCAGACTGTGTAATAACTGAGTTAGAAAGGAAGTTATTGATTCTTTGTGTCCCAACTGCTGAAAAAGTGAACAGCGACCCAGAAGTGCAGATATGGACCTGGCAGGAATTATTTTCACTGCAAATAGGAATATATCTGAACCAAAGACAGTTTGCAATAGAGGAAAACATTCAGGGGAACTTGCTTGAAACATGCACAGATACCAGAGGTTTCTGTAAATTCCTTTCTTGAATCTTCCTCCTCACCTCCTTGAAAATACTTTAAGTTTGAACAACTAAAGTTTGATTATTGGGGGGGTGGGGGGGATTTTACAACCAAACAAAATATTTTAAGTTTACAGGTTTTAATTTTTGTAATGAAAACAAACTTTACTTTTGAAGAAAAACAAACACCTTGTATGAAGACAAAAAAAAACCAACGCCATAACAACCATAACCTTAACAGATGCTTCATTTACTTCAAGAAAACATTGAAGAGAATACTTTAAACACAATTTATTCTGAATCCTACCCAAATTTAACTTCAAAAATGAAATTTTTTTGTAGCACTACTCTAAAAAGCTCAATCTTAAATTAAATCCATCTGAGAGAAATTAAATGGAAGAAGGCCTGTCAAACCCCACCATTCTTTCTTAAACAAAATTACAAACTTGCACAAGACTCTGCTCTTGTTTTTCCATGTCCTTTTGATCCCAACAAGCCTGTTTCTGGCAAATTCTTCTCATCAGGACATGGAAAGCCACACTGAGCCAGCTAGAGCTTAGGAAATCTGTTCTATCCTTTGCTTAAACTGTCTATACTGGTGCCAAACATTATTATTGTTATTAATAGCACAAACCCAGACTGCAGCAGTAAATCACATTCATCCCAGAACAGATTACTTGTTAAATATTTATCATCAATGTAAATGACAAATGTACCCGATTAGCAGAATCCAAAACCTTGTTTTGAGGAAAAAAGGACTCAGCCTTGCAATTTTTCTAATAAACTTCCCTTCTGGTCCACAGCAGAACATATCAGATCTACCAAATCAAATTTCTGAATGAAAGTTCAAATGCTTTGTAGAGCTAATGAGGGAGCACTAGATTGAACTATAGACACATGTTGCTTCTCTATGAAACAGCAGGTTGAAGAATTACACTTCCCTTTTACAAGGTGTAGAATATTTTACTTCTTTAATTTTCCCTCTGGTCTGGCTCAGCTGGGTTGGAAGGACATTAGATGAGGATAATGAGGAGAAGGATACAATCCTTTCTTGTTCTTTGCTGAAGAGGCAAGTATAGACTCACTGTTGCCCTGTCCACCAGAGATAGTCTAGCCTGTGTTCCTCCTTGTGTTTCTTTGCCACAAATCTGGTTTCCCTGCCACATTGTGAATGGGAAGTCTTCTCATTAATATTAGGCCTTAGCCTGAGCTGCCAGCATGGAGGAGGATAGGGAATGGGGGAGAGAGGTTCCTGTGACTGACAATCCTGCCTGCCACACTAACCTTCCCTAGAGCTGTGACTTGCTGAACAATTAACTTGATAGCTCCAGTAAATGCCCAGAGTGTTAGGGGAGTGAGCTCAGATACAAATGTTCAACCTGTAATCATTAAACTGATGGGGGAACAGCCTGTAGTTTGGAGTCTTGGCACTACCAGACACAATAGAAACTCAATTTCTGAGTGCTCACCCATCAGATGTGTTCTCCCTCCCAAGTCCATCCAGCTGTCAGTGAATTTCACAGGACTGTCCTGGCCCTTGGCAGCTTCAAAATTCAGTTGCAATGTGGCACAAGGTGAGTATCTGCCAAGGGAAAAACACAAATCCACTGATCAGCTTTGTGAAGAAGTAAAGTTATTTCTGGCACAGAAACAAATAACTCTTAGCCAACTTTATACAATGGCCATGGTTCTAGAAAAAAAAGAAAAAAAAGAAAAAAAAAAGAAAAAAGAAGACAAGAGAGAGATAAAATTAAATTTTCTTCTGATGTGACTTCAACTAAACAAAAGAGATAATAACAGGAAAGGATTTGACCTCATGTCCACAGTACCAAGAAAATTCTCACTCACTAGCGATTTTATACACAGCAGGTTGAAAGGGAAACTAACTAAACAGGACTGAGCTTGCATTTCCTGATATCTCAAAAGGCATTTGTTTCCCAAAGGAGAGCATTAAACAAAGAGGCAAAGGTTATGTTCCTACACACATCCTAAATGCTGAATCTTAGTTGCAATGAAGAATATTTTTGCTTACTACAGGTGCAGCATTTCTAATGAGTCAAGGTGCACCAGCGGAGTGTTTCAACTGTTTGTCTACAATTTTGCTGTCTCCTGAATATTGAAGCTAGTTGCTGTCCTGAAAAGACTAAGCCACATATGTGCAAGGGGAGCACACACAGACACTTTTTAATCAGCAAGGCAATTTCCTGGGGCAATGTGCTGATCAACACACTGAGCTGAAACATCTGCAGGATAAAGGATTGTGTCTGAAAACCCTGTGTTTGATGCCCATAATTGTGACAAAGTCATTGCATATTCTGCTCAATGCTTTTTCTGTTTCAGCACTTTCTCACTGTACAAAGAAGCTCCAGCAGCCTCTTAAATGTGGTTGGTAACTCAAAGTACATTTGGGAAATCAGCCAGAGAGAAAGGCTTTTCTTCTGTATGTTTTGCTGCTTTTCTATGAAGTGATGGAAAAGATACACATTTTCCATGTTTGCAGGGTTTCCCCTTACAAAAAAGAAAAAAAAAAAAGAAAAAGGAAAGAACTTGAAATAAATTTTCTTATAGTATTTGTATTGTTTACTCAGATAGGCTTAAAGCCGCTTAAAATCTGTCATGTTACTATCTAGGTAGGCAGGGTTTAAACCGTATGCTATTAACTTTTTAAACTGCAGCAATGTATTGTATCTCAAGACTGTGTTTGCAGAGCTGTCAAAGATGCTTTTTCTCTGTGCTAAACATGATTGGAAAAACGTTGCAAGTCCAAGCATTTGCTGTTATTCACAAAGCATTGTTTGCCAGAGACCACACAGGCGAGAAAGACCCAGAGGCAGTTAACCCTGGCAGCAGAATTCCCTAATCACAGCTACCAAGGGAATTTCCCTGGAGACAGAAAAGTGAGGTGCAAGACACCTAAGGGAGGAAATAGAGTTTGCTAAGTAAAGAATTGTTTCTGAAGCCTTGCTTTTCTTTATGAATATCTATTCCATGGAAGGAGAAAGGACAACCCAAGTCCACCTGCAATAAACTGCTCTGCTGAGAAGCATCATTGCTGTGTTGCTCTGGGTACCTGAGCTGCTCTCAGCAGGGTGAGTGTTCTGCTCACATACACCACATTATTTACCTCTGCTTTTCTGGGCCTAATCTTATGAACGGTGTCTATTCACTGGCCCAGATCTCCCCCAAGGGATGAAGGGCACCTCAGCTTTGGACAGAGCCCAGGTGTGGGTGCTGACAGTGTTTCCTGTAGCAATGAGGCTTTGAACCTCCTCAGCTTGAAAACCGCACAGGAAACAGTCCAGGGCTTTTTTTTGTGATGCAGTCACTTGTGTTTCCATGTCCTAGCACAGAATTCTTTTTGATGGACTTAAAACACTTCCAAAAGCAATGAGCTAACTTTCCAGGTAACCTGCCAGGCATTTTCCCTGGCAGCACAATCGCCCTCAGCTCTGCAGACAATGTGCAGCATCCAGGATGGTTCTGCCTTGCCTTTGCAAACTGGGTCACAATACATTTAAGTTTGGAAGGCATAGTGAGTAAAAGGCCTTGATTTTTCATCCTGCTTACACATCTCAGATGCCAAAGTAGAGTCTGCTTCTCCTCAGAATATAAGGGCAGGTGGTTGCCAGTACTCTCAGTAAATGGAGAGTAAAAGCCACTTATGCACAGAGGTGAAAATACCTGCCAAAGGACCACAGACTGCTTAGCCTTTAGCAGTTTTCAAGATTTCATTTTGAAAATAGTAATTTAAAGCACTTGTGAGAGCCAAACGATCTCTAATCTCTTAATTACAGTGATCATGTAAGCTTTAGTTTATTGGTAATTTTTTTCATAGTAGAACATATTTAATGATGCAGCTGGAGCCACACCACCATAGAAAAATAAAATAAAAATAGGATAAAATTTTAAAACCTGATCCAGAGCCTCTGGAAATTATTAGAAAGCGTTCCACTGACTTCAGCACACTTTCCTATCAGAAAATGTTGCCCAGAACATACTTTATAGCTAAATTAGAGAGCTCTGAATCACAGTCTTGTAATACAGAGTTCAAAAGATTTTATTATGGCTAAAAATATGCTTTTACAAACCTATTGATCTTTTTACCTTTCTGATCAAGAGGTACTAATGAGAGAAAAAAATAGCAAGGGATGCTCTATCAGTGAAAGGAAGACCCAGAGCTCCCTTATGGAAGGCCACATGTACTAATCCTGTTTGTCTCGGTTGCAAAAGAATTCTTCGAAGTTAAAGCACCCTAAGGATTTATCAAGCACTTTTCAGCCTTCAACTGGATTTAGCAAGGAAGGCAGTTCCAAAGCCTGTAGATTAGTACTGCACAATCAGGCTCATGTAAACGGCACGACAAGGCTCAGCTTGATCTTTCAGGCAGTGACACTTTACACGTTTCTGAAGACAAAGGTGCCATTCCACTTGCAAACCAAAGATGACACTTCAGTGAATTGCTTAGGAGGGTTTGCCCTGTTGGCTGTTGTCAGATGACTCCTGCTGCACAAGTATTCCTCACAATGGTGTTAACAGGATTGGCAATGCTCACCAGGCTCTTCACACCTTGGATAATGGCTTGTTGAATTGTCAGCTTTTAAAAGTTTGTAAAGAAAACCTGCATGTCTACGGCTTTGGGGCATATTTATCATAAAAATAGATTGGTAAACTCTGCTGTTACCAGTAGGGGCAACTGACTTTCCTGGAGCCTTCAGTGGGGCTAGGACTTCACAGTGGGATCTGTGAGTGCCAGAGATTTTCTGTTAGCAAGAGAAGCTGAAAGAAGCTCCTGAAGCCCAGTTAATCACTGCTATCATTTGTAGCCTCTATTAAATCTTGTGTTCTCATGCCTTGGGCAGAGTAACTGAAATCGCAGTAGAATGGAATAATACAAAATTTTGGATGTTTTTTTCTTTAAACTTTCAAAGTTGGAAAACAAGAGTGTCATAATTAATCAAAGAGGTTGGGGAAGAAGCACTGACAAAAAAAAGTTGACAATTTTCTTCAGTTTGATTATTTTTTCCTACATTTTCCTACATTTTCCTACATTCATGGAAAGTTCAGCCAGCTCTGCTTGTTACCTGACATAAGAATATTAAAGTCCTGCTGCTAATTGAGCCAAGTGAACCTTGAGCTATGACAGTAACAGCTTGCCTTCAGAGAATAGAATCTCAAAGAACACCAGGGGAGAAGCACTGAGCCTGTCAACAATACAGGAAGAAGAATATTAATGTCTATTTCAATAAATATTTCTTTAAGGAAGCAAGGAATCCTCTGGTTTCAGTGGGACAGTGAAGTGTGATATTCCTGCATATTTCCAGTATTATCACATACATGGCACTGGTGCCAAACTGTCCATGAGTCTGTGGGCCTGAGTTCAGCCCTGCTGTTCAGCACACACAAGAGTGATAAAATGGTTCACCCTCACTGGGTGTGCTGTTTACATCTATCCAGTCACCTTACCATTTATGCTTCTAAACATTAACAGGTTGCTAATGTGAATTGTACATATTTTGTCTTGGCTTTTCTACAGCTCTTGAGGTTCAAAATTCATCTTTCATCTGAAGGAAACACCACAGTGAAAATACTGTCATTTTAAAGATGGAAATGATCCTACTCCAGTATTATAACACAGTGGAGCTTAACTACAATAGTTCACTGATTAGCAATCAGTTTCTTTTTTACAGGACATTTTTATGAGTGTATAAGCACACTTGACCTGTGGTTTAAGCTTATAGTTTACAGGAACAATGATGTGGAAGAAGCCAAGTTACTAAAGATGGGGAGGTTCCTGGTGCCATGAGGAATCCTTCACCTGTTTCAACAGTAAAGACTGGTAAAATTTCCAGTTATGTAGAAAGAACTGGGCTTTGTGGGTTATTCCATTTTTGGGAAGGCAGTTAGCTGAAACACATGCTGAAATATTAAATTATTTCAACCCTTGCATACCTTATAAATAAAGTAGTTTGGGATTAGGAAGTCAGGCTGACAGAAATACCAGTATTAGTGAAGCTTTTATTCTTTGGTTATACTTCTGCAATCAGCTTGATGCCAGTAGAAGTGCAGGAGTGTAATGTGAATTTTCATAGTAACGCAGATTTTAGTGTATGTTTGAACCAAAGCAGGCATTGATACCTTACCAGTACCTGTTTATATTTGCTCACAGTGTTACTCTGAGTCTTTGAAGAGCTGAGCTGACTGGCCTGTCTTAGTTGGGAGATTCACAGTTGCAACCACATAAGAAATAATATGATACAAATTTGCCGTCAACATTTTTTTTAAAACAATCAGGTGGATTTTATATGTCATTCTGAGTGGAAGGCATGAGAGAATATCACTTTTTCCAATTTCAAATAAAGGCTCTAGTTTTAGGTAATGTTATAAACTTATAGTGAACTAGGACAATGTAATAATACGGCATGTCAAATTTATTTCTAGCTGTAGGCAAAGAAAAACAAAGAAACAAGGATAGTTTCAACATGGTATTACAGCACAATAAAAATTTGCTCATTAAGTTTCATAAAATCCATTACAAAGTTTAATGCATGTGTTTACATCACTAACACAGACTGAAGCCTATGC